ATTGGCAGCCTCATCATGACAGTGTACCCGCTCATGTATCATGTCTCATGCAGAGTTTTTTGCAAAACATCAAATCACCCAGGTGACTCAGTCCCCCTGCAGCCCAGATGTGGTGCCCTGCAACAGCTTTTCCAAAAACTAAGATCACCTTTGAAAGGGAAGAGATTTCAGACCATCGATGAGATTCAGCGATGGGGCAGCTGATGGTGATCAGGAGAACTGAGCGAGGTCCCTAGGTGCCTACTTTGAAGAGGACTGAAGCATCATCATCCTATGTACAATATTTCTTGTATTTTCCTCAGTAAATGTCTCTATTTTTGATATTATGTTGCTGGACACCTTCTGGACAGACCTCATATACCCAGAAGTGGGATTGCTGGATCATGTGGTAATTGCATTTTTAATTCTTTTAGAAACCTCCATACTGTTTTTCATCATGCCTGCACCAGTTTTTATTCCCACCAATAGTTCCCAAGGGTTCTCTAAATCTTTACCAATACTTGTTATCTCTTGGCTTTTTAATGATAACCATTCTAACAGATGTGAGGTGATATCTCATTGGGGTTTTGATTTGCATTCCCCTGATGATTAGTGATGCTGAGCATGTTTTCATGTACCTGTTATATATCTTCTTTGGTCATTGTCTTTAGAGAGAAGTGTACAAGGTCTGTTCGGAAAAAGTCCAGCCATTGTTAATATAACGAGAACAGTTTGTGCAATAGCAGTGTAACCTGGCAGCCAAGGACAGTGGACAGGAATGTGCATGCATGAACAATGATGGTTTCACTGCACTAGTCATCGTAGTAGTAAGCGGTAGATGTGGCTGAGTGAACATGTGTACTGTGTGGCCATCACATTCAAAATGACTGAGTGAGTAGAGCAGCAAATCTGCATCAAATTTTGTGTTAAGCTTGAACATTCCTCTGCAGAAACTATTTGGATGATGTGGGAGACTTTCAGGGAGGGTGCAGGGAGTGCAGCACAAATAAAAGTGTGGCACAAATGCTTCAAAGATGGTTGAGAATCTGCTGAAAGTCATCCACATTCTGGAAGGCCTGCAACAACCACAACACCTGAGAATGTTGAATGTGTATGGGCTGCAATCAACAAAGATTGGCGACTAACAGTGCAAGGACCAGAGGCCAACCTGGGGATTTTCAAAACTACTGTGTACGAGTTTTGACGCAGGATCTTGGCATGAAACATGTCATGGCAAAATTTGTTCCACAGCTCCTACTACCAGTGCAGAAGGAACATTGTGCTTCAGTTGTTAGTGACTTGATTCAAACCACTATCAATGAATCAGATTTCTTCAAGAAGGTCGTAACTTTGAAGGGGACTGAAGTGTCATTGTCCTATGAGGTGTACAATGTATTTTGTATCTTGTATCTTCTTCAATAAATGTCTCTCATTTTTCATAGCACATGGCGGTATACTTTCTGGACAGACCTCATATTCTCACTTTATTTTTTATTTTTTAAAAGTTCTTATTTATTTTGTTTTTAGAGCGAAGGGAAGGGAGGGAGAAAGAGAGGGAAAGAAATTGATCCCCAGGCCCACAACCCAGGCATGTGCCCTGACTGAGAATCAAGCGGGTGACCTTTCACTTTGCAAGACAGCACCCAACCAACTGAGTCACTCCAATCAGGGCTGTATTCTCTCTTTAAACATCATAGCTAGTGGTTTGTCTTTAGGCTGCCCTCATGGGTTAGATTGCCTGGATTTGCATTTTGTCTGGAATCATCAGTCTTTTCATAAATGTGATTACTTTTCCAACTCAGTCTCCTCTTTGACAGGAAAAAGAAGTCTTCATTAAAACTAATAACCACAATTATTAGAGTGAATCAGACAATCCCTCAAAGAGCAATTTGTAAAGAAAACCAATACATACATAAAATGGGGTCTTTTATTAATCCTTGAGAACTGTTAATCACTGTGTTATGTAAGCCTGATTTTACCCTCAGGCTTTATTAGAAGAGCTCTTTCAACTTCTCAGAACTGTTTCTCTTGGAGCCAGTCCCCTTATGGGACAACACTTAACACTTTACCACTCGTTTGGCTCTTTTGGCATTTTTGGCTTTTTGGTTTCATTTTTCTGTCCACTTAAAGCAAAATACCCTTGTAGTGTTTCATAGCTGCTTTTTATGGAACTGCTAGATAAAAAATTATTCTGGTGGCTGACTTATCTCAGTTTTTTGCTGAAATGATCAGTAAGAGATCTCATAGAATTCTAGAATTCCAGAATCTTTTGTTGGAAGTATTAAAGATTCAAGTCTGGTTTTGAGAGCTTAGAGAACTCTTTGTTGTTATTCCTGATTTAGAGAAACTGTAATTTAAATGGTTCTTCTGGAATCCATGTCCTCTCTTTACAAAAATGTAAAAACATTTTTCACCTGTTTTACTAAACTCCAAGCACTTACTCATTGCATATGAACGTACCTTTTGAGTTCTTGTTCATATTAAAATTTGGGTATAAGCAGTCCCTTTGTAACCGGCATCTCTGTAGCTGGCTCTGGTATAGAAGTGAGATTTCCAAAAGGTATTTTGTCCAGTTTGAAAGTATTACCAAGTTCAGAATTTTATGAAGGACAAATCAGTTCAGCCCACATCTAAACAGAGAATTCGAGTTGGCTTTAAAACAAAAATGTAAAGTGCTCTCATGTGTGATTATATGCAGCATTATATTCCTTTATACTATATCTGTTTTTTCCTTTTGTTTCCTGAATTTGTAAGAAAATTTGACTTAACCTTGAAAATACTAGTTTCTAGAACCTATGTAGAAAGAAAACTAGAATAGTATTTCTCCTCCAATTTCACTTTATAGGTACTATAACTTGAAAGAAAAAAAAAAAAGGCTGTGGCTGATGTGACTTGGTTGGTTGGAGTGTTGTCCCATGGACCAAAAGTTTGCAGGCTCAAGTCCCAGTCAGGGCACGTACCTGGGTTGTGGGTTCAATCCTTGGTCAAGGCTCATATGAGAAGGCAGATGATCTCTGCCTGCCTGCCTGCCTGCCTGTCTCTCCCCCACCCCCTTCTCTTTCCCATCTCCCCTTCTCTGCCTCCTTCCCTCCCTTCTGCTTTCTCTAAAAGCAATGAAGAAAAAAAAGTCCTCAGGTGAGGATTAAAAAAGTAAGAAAGAAGGAAAGTGATAGATTCCTGTGTATCCTTCATGTGTAAAACATTCCCGGGAATGTGCCACCTTTGTTAACTGAAAACGATGATTGTGTGCCTTTTATACTGAAAATAGGCAGCTCTTGGTAGCATAATGCCAATAGTAACTTTAGATAGTTTCTATCTCTGTAGGTATTTAGTGTGACTTGATGACACTGATTAACATCAGTTGGGGAACTCTTTGAGGGTGGACCAGGATCCAGGAAGAAATCCTTTCGAGAGAAAAACCCCAGTAAAAGCTGTAGGCTTAATCACTGAGCAGGGCTGGCTCAAGTGCTGATTTCTGTCGTGATGTCAGATTGCTATTGGCTATTGAAGAGAAAAAGGAAGTAGCATTTTGCTCTGAAATAGGCTAATTGGGAGACAACACAAGCTCCCTCCTAGGGCTCCTAGAGCCTGATCAGTGAACAGGGGGATATTTTCAGAACTGCAGCTGGACAGGAGGGAGGGTTGGTGGACGCAGATCCTTGTGCTATACTGAACTGGTGCTGTATTTTCAGTAAGAATCCGCAGAGCATGTGATGTAAACTTAATCTCTTCATGAGGAGGGATTCATCTGTTTCTCCAGGCCTGGGATCAGTTTCTGTGCATCTGATCAAACCTGCAGTTAGTCACCAAAAGAGTGACCAAATTAAATAAATAACACCACTGATTTAATAAGCACACCAAAGCTCAGACATCCAAATGAAAGACAGCTGCCCCTTCCAAGTTGCCCCTTCGAAGTAGAGGAAGAGGTACTTCGTCTAACGATGCTGCTGTTGCTCTAAATGTTTTTGGTATTTTTCTTTCAGCTATACAGTTAGAGTGTACCACATACATTGTTCTCCTGTTGACAGATCCTCATCTTTATAAAGATGAAGTAGCTAGCTAAATATTTAGAAATAGCCAAAAGTCATTCTGAGTTCTGGTTTACAGGTTAGTGTGAGTGATCAGGAAAACAGTTTTGTTTTGGATTAAAAATGAGATCTGATATTTTCATGTGGTCTTTTAGTTCTTAAAGCAGGTTATGAATAAGTTATTTTGAAGCTATTTTGAATAAGAGAAGCATAGTTGAAATAAGCACATTGTTTCTAAATATGGCTGCTTTGATGATACACATAGTCAAATTTATACCTTCTGCTTATGTATTTTGTAGTCTTATCTTCTAGTTTCAAGACTATTTCAAAATACCATGAATCACTGTATACAAATGGAACTGTTCAGAAAGAGAAAGAGCTCCTAGATGGTACCGGATATGGGGAGAATTGTGTTAGAATTGCTTTGCAAGTTAACCTTATACTAGGCTCCCAGTTTTTCCTTTTGTAAAAAGAGAATAATAATCAAGTCATACTGTCCACATTATAAGGTCATTGTGAGGTTTTTCAGGAAGTAAATTACCGCACGTGAAACACAAACCATAATGCCTTGTGTATAATTGTGTTAAATAAATGTTAGCCATTTTTATTATGCTTTTGTGACATGTTGGGGTGCCTGGAAGAGAGGAAGAAGAAACAGTACTGATAGTAGAACAGGACTGGCCTGCCTTTGGTTTTTAAAGTTCTCCAAATCAAACCTGTTTTAATCATACTCCTAAATATATGTCATGAATGGCATGAGCAATATTTTAATTTCCAGCTCTCCTTAAAATTTTTAGTTCTTTATTAAGTTTTTTATTGTATTCTGAACAAAAACAAAATAAAGCGACAGACCTCAGTATCCCCCAAAATAGGATGTTGAGAATTTGGATATCAATTTGTGAAAACCAATTGTATCATGTTTCCAGCTGATGTGGTTTTTGTACATTAGAAAATGCAAATCTTATCACTTGCATTATGTTACTTTTTAAACAGATGAAGATGAAGATGGTGATCGGATTACAGTGAGAAGTGATGAAGAAATGAAGGCAATGCTGTCATATGTAAGTATATTGCAAAACAAGGACTATCTTAAAAGTGTTACCGTAATCAAGGATGCTGTTTCTTGGCAGAGTGAAGATACAAAAGTAAATCACAGTTGCCATAACATTTTTCTGTATAGTATGTAAGGTTCTCAAAGATTTTCTTATGTGAAAGTTAAGGGCATTCTTTTCAAAAGACACTTACTGATCATATCATGAACATTAAGAATAATGCATCTTAATGACTGTTACATTAGGTATGGTGCAGACTAAATGGACTATCAATTTCCTGTATTTTTTATGCAGTACTTAAAGTAACGGCTCATTAAAAATGAACCCCTGGGCTCTAAAAAATTTTTCAAAATCTACTTTCAACTGGAGATCTCTTTCACCCTTCCAAACAGACTATAGTTATTATGTAGCTTCAGGCTTAATATGGATACAGGATTTAAAGATGTACTCTCAGTTATTTTACCAGCCCCTATGCCCATCCCCAGATGAACTACTCTGGGGTTACTTACTGAATCAAAATGATTTAAATATATCCTGAAATGACTTTTCTTTTGTGTTTTGGATTTCAGTGAAAATTTGCATTAATGTTTATTTCAGAACTGAAGGAGATAAAAAAAAGACTACATTTCTGAAACTTTAATACTAAGTTTGAAACGCTCAACTATAACAAAGAGATATATAGCTTCCCTGAGCCCTGATTTGCGCTTTACTCATATTTTGTTTTATTTCCTCTTACTTGTCTTACTTTATCTTATATAAGTTTGCCCTGTGTTTGAAAACCCTTCTCTAGTGGCCTGGTGGAAAAAGCAATGGGTTGCAAGTCAGGAGACCGCTGCTCTCTTCTCGCTTCCTGGCCTTAGGCAAATTACTTAACCTTTCTGTGTTGTAGTTGCCTCATCTGTCAATTGTGGATAATAATACTTGTCCTTTCTATGGCACAGGGTCATTGTAATGATCAAATGGGGGAATAGCCTTGAAAGCCCTTTGAAAACCTAAACGTTCTATACAAATGCAAAGTGGTATTATGGTGGAAATGATAGAATGGGGGGCCCTTGCCTCTCAGCAAGGCTCTAATCTCAGCGAACAGTTAGGTTGTAGGTTTTTGATAGACTTCAACTTCAACCCAAGGTATTGTTTCATTGTAATGAAAACTATAAAATATCGGTGTGGGTTTCCGCCAATAGTTTTAATTTAGGGTAGGAGGAAAGAGAACAAGAAGAATGGCATGATTAACAGAGCGTTGCATTCAGAGCTACACAGAGTAGGAAAAGTCAATTTCCCATTGACTTCCCATTAACTTATTTGAGAGTCCTTGTGCTTTGAGAATTTAGACTAGGGCTCATCAGCACCTTGAAAGGCAGAGTAGGATGGTCTACTGAAAGGTCTAGCACTAGTATTGATTGCTAACTCTCCTGAGACTGTGACATGCTTATTTTTAGAAAACACAGACATAGATGGGTTCTAGTTTTTTCATACACATCTATTGCAGGGTACATAACTGATACCAGGGTACTTTCATTATGTCTGAGCCCCACTAAACCACATTTGTGTTTATAAAAAAATTTACTTTGCGGAAAATCTGACAAATTGTGCCTTTCGAAGAATGTTGCTGCATGTGATCATAATGATAATAATAGTCATTTCTGTTTTTTAGGTACCTAGTCTATATTCTAGGTCTATATTCTAGATGCTTATGGTATTTAATTTTCATTCGTTTTAATAATCACTCTCTGAGGTAGATATTACCATTCCTGTTGTTTAGATGAGGAAGCTATGGTTAACAGACATGCTGAAGGTCATGTACTAATGAATGTGAATATGGAATTTAATTTCAGTTTCTCCTTATGCCAAAGCCCATGATCCTTTACTGTTTTACACTGTTTCTCGCCTATTTACCTCCTTGCATATTAGTATTGGGATCTTTCTATGTTATCACAGCTATTAAATCCTGAATGATTTGTGTTTATATAATACCTATGTATCTATCATATATTCCTTATGATTTGTGCTTATTTTCTTAAATGCAGTGTTAATTTTGATATTGTAGGAAAATATTAGAGTTACGTAATTATCTTTAAACTTAAAAGTTTCTCAGCTTTCTTGAGCGTCTCAAAAAAGAAATCATCTAGCTCATTGATCCAGATACTTGGATTTCATGAATTAATCAATTTTTCATTTTCAGGTTTGAGGATAGACACAGGCATGGTAATGTTTAATTTTGCCAAATAAAAACATTAATACATACACTGATAAAATTATCTACTGTTAACCATTATATTATTAATAAAGTTATTTAAAGATTGAAACATTGGGCAGTACATAATCTCAAAAATAAAGATGACAATTAAAGTGAGTAAATTCAGTTTTAATGCAAAAACTCAATACCTTATTCTTTGTAGTAATTTACTGTAGGTGTTGAAACTTTTTTAATAAATTGGTAGTGGTCCATGGATTGTGGGCAGGCTGATTGGGTCCAGATTTTTCTCATTAATTCACTTAACAAATATTTAGAGATGGAAACTCAGGCACCCAAAGAACTTTAACATAGGTAGATCACCACTTACCTGATTCTGAGTGCTTGAGCAAAGTATTTTAAAATCAAAACACCTCTGAGGGGTAAGTTTTAAGGCATCTAAAACCTAAATGGATTTTCTTTCTTTCTCATGTGTTGGAGTAGCCCAGACCATCATATAACTTTTGTTTATATAGAGTCAGCCCCTGAATAAATATTTAAAAAGTAGAGAGTAAGGGAATCTCTTTCTCAAAAACAGAAACAACACTGGTTGGCTGTCATTTTGGTCTGTCTTGATTCTCATGTCTGAAATTCCTTTTTGTTCCCATTCTTCCGTAAAGAGAACCATTTGGACCTAATCTTGCAATAGAATTTGGTTGATAGTCCTTAGTTGCCAACCTATTATTAAAAACCTGCATTAGTCTTTATTTTTTTAGGTTCAATTTGGCTCTGAAAAATTTGATTACAGGATTTGGATAGTAACGGGAAGATACTGACAGATGACCACATATTTGCTGTCAAACAAACAAACAAACAAAAACTAGCAAAACAGCTTAGTTTTTCATGTGGTCAATATTTTACAGTCATCTTAGTATTTTACAGTCATCTTAGTATTATTTAACATAGGCAAAGCAAAACTAGAGACACTTTTACCACAAATCCTTTAATTGTTCTTTCTCATCATCAGTGACAAAGATTGCATGAATAAACAGCCTGAATCCTGCCTAGTTTTAAAAAATTTTGCAATGTCTAAATTGTAACTTGCAGAATTACTTTTAAAAAAATCCATTGGATACAAGCATTTTCTGGCTTTGGGCCAGCAGTAGCATAATTTTTTTTTTTAATCAGTAATTTAAATAGATTTTTTTGTATTAGACCTGAAAATGTTGCCTTTTTAATTGAAAACTTATCAATTATTTAAATTGCTAGCAGCCTTAGGCTGTTAATTTTATGTGTGCCATAACAATGGCATACAGTGGTTTTTGATGCATGTGACACATGGAATATCGCATTGTGGTAAGAATTTGTAATGACAATAGGTTATTGTGTGCCGTTTAAATAATAACCAACATATTAAAGGCTGTTGTCACACATTAGTACCATTTTATGTAAGTTATTTTGAAGTTGTATTTTCTTCATTAGATATATTTTTAAGAGATAATGAGAAGAAAACAAAGCTATAATAAATTGTCTTTTAAGAAAATTTAACATAATTTGGTCTCCAAGGAGATATTTAATGTATTGAGAGAATTCAGCAGCCAAGTGTTATTACCATTGCAATAGCTCTCTGTTTTGTTATGAGTTTGTGTTAATCAACAAACTGTTTTTATAGTGTAGTTTCTTGTAAGTTATGTTGTTAGAATATTCCACTTCTGGGATCATGACTTTTTCTCTGACATTATTGTACCTTTTTAATTCCTCTATGAAGTATTTTTTTAATTAGAATTTGAAATGCTTTATTAGGAAAAAAATACACCCAAACTACATATTCTGAAGACTGAATACCTGATTATTGCTAATTATTTAAAAGACCCTGTTAAATATTCCCTTATTGTAGTTTACATTTTTTTGTTCTGTTTTCTCTGTCATTTTGTAGAAAGAGTAGAAATAATATGATATTTTTCTCCTCTCCTTACATATCTGTCGTTCGTTAGTGCTAGTTTCGTTTCCTTACCACATCAAACAGCAATGCTGGGTCTTGTTTACTAATTCATCTTAAGCTTTATCTATCACTGAGATCCAGTTATACAAGAGGATTATTTTAATGTTAACCTGCTTTTGGGTGATCTTTCATTAAGAAACTCAGCAGTACATCTTACTTTTGTAAATGGATTCGTATTTGTTTCTGTTCAGTCCTGTGTCTAGTAAAGGATTACACCTGGTCCTCTCAATACTGAGGTGCTTGTATGAATGTAGCACAGTAGTAACAAGAAATACTTTCTTCATTTTGCCCGTTTTGTCTCTTTATATCATTTTTTTCCCCCACATTGCCAGAAAAGTACGGGATGAGTTTAACTGACATTCTTCCCATTATGGCTGAGCCCGTATATTTTGATAAATTGTAAGTATTCCCTGTGGTACACTTGACCTCAGTGTACCTTGTAGGATGTTGAGTACCATGAGGAAAAATACTTTTTGACCTCTATAGCACTTTGTAAATTGAGGTATGATTAGCTTTATCCTTCCTAGTATGCATAACTTGGAGATTGCCTCTAAAGTTATACAGTTACTCAAGTAGAGGTGGAAGTGAGGCTTAGAGGTCTTGTCCAACTGTTTCATTTTACAGAGAAGGAAATGGAGGCCTAGTGAGATCAGATTCAATAGGAGGCCACTTTGGTAAGGAATAGAAAGGTCTAGACACAGACTCAGGTCTTTGGCTCCCAGTTTCTTCACTCCTGGTGGTTTCAAGTGATATTTTTGTTTTGACTTCTATATTGAGGTAATGTTATTAATATCATTGTTAGCTTCTAAAGTTTTAAAGATTTTCTCCTTACCT